CAGGAGAGGAAGACTATGAGGTAGAGTGATTCACTGACTGGAATAGTGGGGGTGGGTTTGTTGGAGACAATGAGACTGGCACAGAACAGAACAGGGTTTAGAACATGCTGTTGTACATAGGGTCACTATTAGTCACAGGACAATCGATGGCACATAACAACAACAACATCCACAACTCACCTGGTGATCAATCATTGGTGTTCAATGTTTCAAACCTATTCTTAAGATTATTTTTAAATTCAGGTGGGATAGACTTAAGATCATATTTTTGTTCTTATACTTGATCTTAGCCAAAAGGCCAAGAAGCAATCATATTTTGGTTCTGGCTTGGTTTTGACTGCTGATAATGAGCTGCTGAAATTATTTCTTCCACAAATATAGTCAGTCTGGTTTCTGTTTTGTCTACCTGGTGATGTCCTTGTGTAAAGTTGCTGTTCGTGGTTCTTAAAAAAGGAATCTGTGATGAATAAATCATTAGATATAAAAAATTTGATCATTTTATTGTCAAGATGTTCTTACTTTCTCACTACCTTCCTTTCTTCACTGTTTCCAACATTTGCATCCAGTCACCAATTACCATTAACACATCTTGTTTGTATGTTTGGTCACCGCTCCCCTAGTTCTGCCTGCCAATCTGCACTCCCTCATTGTACTGTTTTCTGTCAAACTGACTGATGGATTTATTTACTATGTTATCATATTTTCTCTCCCACTAGAATGCAAGCTCCCTGGAACAGAGTGTTATAAACCTAGTTAGTTCATCTTTATCCCAAATACATAGACTAGTGTCCAATGTTTAGAAGGTACTTAGTAAAGATTTCTTGAAAGACAATATGAGTGCCTTTGAAGGTAGCAGTTGAGCACATGGATCCCTTACCAAACACAATTCGTTAATAACAGAATTGTAAAATACTACTAGAGATCATTGTTAACTTTTTGTATTCTTAGTGATTGCCATATGTTCATATCTGTCAAAATAAAGAAGAGTGCATTAGATTCAAGAAAATTTTTATTTTAAATGATAAAATTCTTTCTAAAAAAGAAATAGAAACACCATTTGATCCAGCAATCCCACTACTAAGTATATATTCTAAAGAAGTAAGAATTTTGAGAGGATAGATGCACACCCACCATTACATTCTTGTTTATAATTACCAAACTAGATAGTTGACATAATATTGTGTGGATAAATACTGAATGAAAAAATAAGTCATAAAAGGACAAATACTGTGTGAGACACATTCTTCACTCAGTGTCATAGTATTGGAACCAAGTCATAACTTACTAATGAGAGGCTGTGACTCACAGGTAAGGATATAGCTCATCAGAGCTGCTGGTGGGTTTGAACTGCCTTTGGGTTGGCAGTATAACTATATCCACTAGGCCACCAGAGCTCTCCTGTAAGATTGTTGTTGTTGTTATGTGCTGTGGAGTCACTTGTGACTCATAGCGAGCCTGTGTACAACAGCCCTAAACTCTGTCCTGTGCCAATCGCGCCATCTCTGATACACCCATCCCGATTATCCCAGTCACTGAATCAATCCACCTCATAGAGGGCCTTCCCCTCCTGCGCTGTCCCTCCACCCTACCAAGCATGATGTCCCTCTCCAAGGACCAGTCTCTCCTTACAACATGTCCAAAGTATGTTAGACGGAGCCTCAGAATCCTTGCCTCCAAGGAGCTACTCGGTTTAACCCTTTCTAGGATGAATCTGTTTGTTTTCCTAGAAGTCCATGGTACCCTCAATACTCTTCTCCAGCACCACAGCTTAAAGGCATCAATTCTCTTTCTATCCTCCTTGGTCATTGTCCAACTCTGATGCATAACAAGTGATAGCAAAGACCATGGCCTGTATCCGATGCACCTTAGTCTCCAGAGAGATACCATTGCTCTTCAGTACTTTGGAGAGGTCCCTAACAGCAGACTTTCCCATGGCAATGCGCCTTTTAATTTCCTGGGTACTGGTGCCAAGAGTGTTGACTGTGGAGCCAAGCAAACTAAAGCTGTGAACAATCTCAATCTCTTCACCATCCATCCTGATGCTGCCAATTGGTCCAGTGGTGAGAATCTTTGTCTTCTTGACGTTGAGCCTCAATCCATATTGGAAGCTGCAGTCCTTGACCCTCTGCAGCAAGCACTTCAGGTCCTCCTCAGTCCTGTAAGATTACTATTGTAAAACTTTAAAGAAAGATTTATACCCAGACTTGTTTTGGATGCTTGCTGGGGATGAAAATGAGGGGGAGGTAAAGATTAGTAAATAGATATAGGCATGTTAGGGTAGATGAAGGGAAAGGCAAGATCAGATAAAAATCTGGGAGAGGATCAACATAATTTCATTAAAGAGACAAAAGTGTGATTACATTATAGATAATATAATTAATGTTATGGAACAGTGATTATGAATGGTTGAATAAAAAACTGATTTGTAAACTTTCAGTCAAATTACAAGTAAGAAAAATATTTTAAGAAGCAGGAAGAAATGCATTACAGTTTCTTTTGACACATTATAATGAGAGGGTGTTCTTTGGAGGGGGACAGCATACTTAGAAAGGTGAAGGGCTAGCGTGAGGAACGAAGATTGTCAACAAGGTAGATTGATATAGTAACTGACAGTGGGATCAAGTATGTCGGGGATGGTAAGGATGGTGCACATACGACAGGGTTCAGATCTGTTGTTCATAAGGTTTCTTTGAATTGCACTTGAGAGCACCTACCAACCGCATGGTTGCTAACACTGAGAACAATGGAAATCCTAGAACACTTCATTGTGCTCATGCAAAACCTGTACATATAGATCCAGAAGCACTTATCTGTACAGAACAAGGGAATACTGCATGGTTTAAAATCAGGAAAATTGTATGCCAGGGTTATATTTTGTTCTCCATGCCTGTTTGTTCTGTATGCTAAGCAAATAATTTGAGAAACTGCACTGTATGATAAAGAATGTGGCATCAGGATTAGAGGAAGACTTATCAACAGCATAAAACCTGTGTTATATACACCCTTACTTCCTGGAAGTGTGAAGATGATATGAAACACTTGATGCAGAAGATTGAAGACTTAAATATGAATTACGTCTCAACATTAAGAAAACAAAAAGTGTAACCACTAGACCAATAGTGATAGATGATAGATGAAGGAAAGATTGAAGTAGTCAACAATTTCATCTTACTTGAATCCACAAACAACACTCATGAAAACAGCAACCAAGAAATAAAAGACTTGTCATATTGGAAAAATCTGTCAAGGACCTCTCAAAGAGCAAGGATGTCAGTTTTAGGGCAAATGTGTGTGTGATCCAAGCCATGATCCTTTCTATTACTTGCTGTGCATCTGAAAGTTGGACAGTGAATGAGGATGACAGAACTATTATTTGTTCCTTTACATTGTGTTGTTGGAGAAAAGTACCAAATATCCTGTGGAGTGCTAAAAAACCAAGTATAGCTAGAGGAAGTGCAACCAGAATGTTCCATAGCAGCAAGGATGGTGAAACTTGGTCTCACATACTCTGGGCATATTGTCAGGAGGGACCAGACCTTGGAAAAAAGCTATCATGCTGGGAAAAGTGGAGAGTCAGCATAAGAGAGAATTGACAGAGTGACTGTAACAGTGGGCTCAAGCATATTAGAGATGGTGAAGATGGCACAGGATAAGGCAATGTTCAGATGTGTTCGGAGGGTTGCTGTGAGTCATAGTTTACTTGATGGCACCTAGCAACAATATCTTTATGCTTAATGTACTCTCTCTTTCTAAGCCTGGTGACTATGAATCTGAGGGTAAATTAGGATTACACTTCCCCACCCCCAGGCTTATTTCTGCAACAAAAATTAATAGTCAAGTAATATTTGGTAAATCTTTTCAGAAATAGCTAGGCAGTGTTTTTGTTTTTTTTTTTTTTTTCATTCATTGAAGAAATAGGACAGTGAATGACCTTTTGACTTCAACCTTAAGGGAGAAAGGAATTGCTTTTATACAAATCCAAAGATAGTCACCATGTAGGTGCTGCCAGTACAACAGATGGACAAGACACACCTTAGTCTTCTGGTTATTAACACTTGTAAGAAGAGAGGAATGAAAGAACCCCCAGACAATCACTCATAACAGTGAAGTAATTTGATAATTTTTTTTTCTTCAGGCAGTGTTATAAATAGCCTGTTAGCATTGTTGAATGTGAGGATTGTATAGATTGAATAATCCTAGTAACTATAGCTAAATCTATTACACATTTTAAACTCATATTTCCTCTATTATATAGAGATGGAATGCATGTTCATTGTCATAATGCTTTAAGAAGTACTGACTACTGAATCAGATTGTAACCTAGTTATAATTTATTTGTATTTGACTTCCAATTTTCCCCTGTTGCTATTAAGAGGCCACATAATTAAAATTTTCCTTTGCTATTTAATATTTCATCATAAACCTTAACATTTTTTATATATACATTAACATCTGTATAGCTGTCACTAGTTAGGCTACCCAGTAACTTAATTACATAGGTGCTTATTGTGAAGTATTTGAGTTGTTGATAATATTTTACTATGAGAGAAAAGAGTTTTGCATGGTGGATCGTTGGACTGGTTAATGAAGTAGCATTCATCTACATAGTGTTTGCCAGATTTCTGTATCCCATGGGTGTGAGAGTAGATTGCATTAGATCTATCTTCTCACCCACTCAGTTGTGTGAATTGTTTGTTTTGGGTTTGTTTGTTTTTTTAAGAATACATTCTAGAAAAGTGTATTATTAGATCAAAAGGAAGAAGCATTTTAAGCCTGTTGCTATGTAGTGCCAAATTAGGAATGTTGTGCTTTCACTAGCCGTATAATGAAGATTTCTTTTCCTAAAGACATCTATAAAGCAATCAGAAGGAAACAAAAGTAAAACCTTTGAACTAAATTAATGCATGAAGTATTAACATTAGGGCTATTTTAATTTATAAGAATATGGACTACTTATTCAGGTGCCTTCTTGCTGAATTTGTGTTTTTATTCTAAAACAGGTGACTTAATGAAGGGTGCTGCAGGAGAGTTTGCGGATGATCCCTGCTCCTCTGTGAAGCGTGGCAACATGGTTCGAGCTGCTCGAGCTTTACTCTCTGCTGTTACCCGGCTGCTGATTTTGGCTGACATGGCAGATGTCTACAAATTACTAGTTCAGCTGAAAGTTGTAAGTACAAGTCCTATGGCTGTAATTTATTTTATCACAGTGAGGTAGCTGCTGGCCTTATTACAGCATTCCTTATGGTTTAGTGAGGTTTGAACTTGATTTACCTAAATGGGCCAGGAATGTTTTTGTGTAATTTCCACTTAATCCTCTAATTGAAGAATATATATATATATATGATGCTGACTTCACTGTGAGCCAAGCTGCCATGTTTCTAATGAAGAACTTGTAGCAAAGATATTGTTTTGACTCTGTCCCTTTTTGTAGTAATTATTAACTAGATTCTTGTACTAGTACAATTCCAAAGTTGAATTGATGTTGGGTGTGATCAGATTGATTCTGACTTATGGCAACCTTATGCAACAGAGTAGAATTGCCCCATAGGATTTTTTTTTCTTTTAAATCTGTAATCTTTATGGAAGGAACTCTGGTTCTGTAGTATATAATATATTTGTTGCTAAGCAGAAGATTGGCAGTTTAGATTCACCAGCTGTTGCTCTGCCGGAATAGGGTGAACAGTCTTCTCTCATAAAGACTTATAGCTTCAAAACCCAGATGGAGGGTCACTGTCAGTTGAAATTGACTGACTCAAGGGCTGTCTAAAGAGGAGAAGATGGGCCATGGAGTCACAGGGCCAGGAGCATCTCTCTGAAAGGGCCAGAGGGAATAAGAATGACATAGCCCCTCACTGCCCCAGAGTGGAAAGCAGATTAAGAATCTGTAGCTCAGCCCTGTAGAGCCCCATTAGCAACAAGAGGCTCGTTTATTCATTATTGACTCACAGACTTAGAGTTGTGGTACTGAGAATGGAGTTTATTAGGGAAATAAGTTGGAAAGTATCACCCAATACAGGTCTGATACAGTTCCAAGGCACAGTTGCTCAATTAGTCTAGCCTCTGGTTTCAGAGCCAAATTAAAATCCTGTTTCAGCAGTCAGTCAAACTCAAATCATCTAGCAAGCTTTACATCAGAGCACTTAGAAGTCAGCTTCTCCTTCAAATACCCAGCAGGAGGAGCCAAACCTTTAACGGTGGCTATCACAAATGCAGGAAGCCTCAGGTCACACCTTGCAAAAGTTTCTCCACAACAGTGCCACAGTCTCTCCACCACCAAAGTCACACTCTCACCAGAGTCTTGCTGTCATAGCCTTAACTCTTGCTACCCAGTGTGGAAAGCGTTCTTGAACTTAGCCTAATCCCACAGCTGTTAATGATTTGTAAGACCATATGTCTGCAGTGAAGGTAGCTGGAGATCAGAGGCTAAATGACAAAAAAAGTCAGCTTTTAGGCTAACACTACAATGGCATTCATGAGAATTCTTTATGAAAGCAGATTGCCAGATCTTTCTTCTGTGTCACTGATCTATCTTTTTTGGGGGGGCTTATATTTTATAGGTGGAAGATGGTATCTTGAAACTGAGGAATGCTGGCACTGAACAAGACTTAGGAATACAGTATAAAGCCCTAAAACCTGAAGTGGATAAGTTGAATATTATGGCAGCCAAAAGACAGCAGGTATAATCATGTTTTGGGGATATATTTAAACCAATTATGTTGTTATTTATTGAGAAAAATCCATTTACCCAAGGTTTTTGAAGGAATCATTGCTTCCTTCTGCCTATGGTTTCACATAATCAGTTAATCTAAGAGGCATCCTTTTACTATTTTTACTATTGTGCTATTAATAAAGCATGATTATTTTACTTTTATGTTGCTCTGTCATTGAAAGTGATGATAGTATCTGGAGAGGTGATAAGTCTTTTTGTTAGATGCATCTGAAGATTAAACTGAGTGGGTGGTGAAGTTAATTAACACGTAAAGAAACATAAAAACCTATTTAAACACCTTTGAATTACTTCTGTTTCAGAAAATATCTTCACTACTGTCCCAACTCTCTATTTTGTTACTTTTAAAATTGTTCTTAATCTTTGATAATTTATGCATTGTTATGAATCTGTTTTGTGTGCCACATGGAATTGTGTGCCTGTTTCTCCAAACTTTAATAGATTTTGGTTGTTTTACTCCTGGACTCCTTTGAAACCTTTTCACTGTTTTCTTGTGGGATGCTGTATACTTGTGGTTTCTGCTGTGCATATGCATATGTGAAATGTTCTGTTCCATATAACTTTAGTCCTGATTAAACTTAAGCTTTTAGATTTTATATTTTTTAAATCTAAAATGATGAATTCTTACCTTTTTACTCCAATTCAAATTCATTGCTGTGGAGTTGGACCTGATTCATAGCTGATCCTCCAGAAAGTTTCCAGGGCTATAAATCACATAGGAGGAGATTGCTCATTTTTGTCCAGTGGAACTGCTGGTGGGTACATACTACCAGAGAGGCTTGGTCTTTGGTTTAACAGTGCAGTTCCCTGTAAACTAGGCCAGTAGTTGTTATGAGCCATTGAGTTACCTGTGACTCATAGTGACCATATGTACAGTAACCCTAAACCCTGCTCTATCCTGTGCCAGTCGCATTGTCTCTGACATACTTACCCCCATCACCCCAGTCACTAAATCAATCCATCTCATCACGGGTCTTACTCTCTCGTGCTGTCCCTCCCAAGCATGATGTCCCTCTCCAAGGACTGGTCCCTCCTTGTAGCATGTCCAGAGTGTGTCAGACGAAGCTTCAGAATCCTTGCCTCCAAGAAGTAGCCTGATCTCACCCTCTCTAGGACGAACCTTTTTGTTCTCCTAGCCGTCCATGGTATATTCAGTACTCTTCTTCAGCACCACTGCTCAAAGGCCTCAAATCTATCATTTCTAGTCATTGTCCAGCTTTCTGATGTATAGCAAGTAATTACAAAGACTATGGCCTACATCAGGTACACTTTAGTCTCCAGACTGACATTGTTGCTCTTTAGTACTTTGGAGAGGTCTCTGACAGTACACTTTCCCCAGTGTAATTCGTACTTTGATTTTCTGGCTTCTGGTACCAAGAGTGTTGATTGTGGAGCCAGCAAACTGAAGCTGTTAATAATTTCAATCTCTTCCTCATCTATCACGGCCAGTATAAAACCTTGCACTACAGTTTACAGACAGTTTACAGAAAAACCTCGTTTTAAAATGACTTGAAAAATGGGAGATTTATCTTCTTACTAACTGGTAGTCCCAGTTGAGTGATTCCTGGGTTGTAGTCAGAACCTGAAGTTCTAGCTTCTTGTCTTTTTCCAGCATTGCCATTATATGTATCCTGTTACTAAACATTCACAGAACCTCTTGGCATGACTTTTGCACAAATCAACATGTCCAGTGGAAAAAAAGAAGCTATTTCTTATATGTTTCTGTCTTTGTAAATTAACAATTCAACCACCTTGCTGTGAATGTTACAACTCAAACAGTAGTGCAGTTTCACATAGAGCTTTGGAAGCACATAGGTGTCAAAAACACTCGCTTTGGAAATGTCCCTGACAGCAGCTGCCTTTACTATATTTCGGATTACGAACTTCTTAATTGCCTTGTCTTTGGGCATGCACCGGGCGCAGTTTGTGCAGCAAATAGGCTGCACATGGCTGTGGCCCTTTTTGGCACGACCATTGTTTCTCATTTTCTTCGTCATGTTGGAAGCCACCTTTTTTCTATTTTTAAGGAGTGCTTTGCTTATTCGGAGCTTCTTCCCATTCCAAATGAAACTGAAGATTACCTTTTCCATCTCGTCGAAGAATGGGATTGGTATTTGTATTGGGATGGCATTGAACATGTAAATTGCCTTTGGTAGTATTGCCATTTTCACAGTATTGAGTCTTCCTGTCCATGAGCAAGGGATATTCTTCCACTTCTCCAGGTCACTTTTAGTTTCTTGTAGTAATGTTTTGTAGTTTTCTTTGAATAGAACCTTTATGCTTCTGGTTATATTTACTCCCAAGTATTTAATCTTGTGACTCGCTATTGTGAAGGGAATTGTTTTTCTTAGCTCCGGCTCTGTATTCTCTTTTTCACTCTAGAGAAATCCAACTGATTTTTGTATGTTGATCTTGTATCATGTTACTTTGCTGAATTGGTTCACTGTGTCCAATCGTTTTCTTGATGAGTCTTTAGGGCTTTCTAAGTATACTATCATATCATCTGCATAGAGAGATAATTTTACCTTCTCTGTGCCAATTTGAATACTCCTTATTTCCTTCTCTTGTCTTACTGCTATCGCTAAGACTTCCAATACTATATTGAATAGGAGAGGTTATATTGGGATCCTTGCCTAGTTCCTGTTCTTAAAGGGAATGCCTTTAACCTCTCTCCATTGAGAACAATGTTGGCTCTCAGGTTTTCATAAATACTTGTTACTGCATTGAAGAAATGCCCCTCTAATCCTATTTTGTTGAGTGTTTTAATCAGGAAAGGGTGTTGGATTTTGTCAAAGGCCTTTTCTGCATCAGTTGATAGGATGATGTGGTTCTTGTTTTTTGCTTTGTTAATATTATGAATTACAGTAATTGTTTTTCTTATGTTGAACCATCCTTGCATACCTGTTATGAATCCCACTTGGTCATGATGAATTATTTCTTTGCTGTATTGTTGGATTCTTTTGGCCAGTATTCAGGATTTTTGCATCTGCGTTTATAAGAGATATTGCCATATTGTTTTCTATTTTGGTGGTATCCTTTCCTGGCTTTGGTATCTTATGTTTGCTTCATAGAATGAGTCTGGGAGAATTTAATCTTTTTCTATTTTCTGAAATAGTTTATGTAGAATTGGTGACAGTTCTTCTCTGAATGCTTGATAAAATTCACTTGTAAAACCGTCTGGTCCAGGGCTTTTTTGGGTTGGAAGCTGTTTTATTACCTTTTCAATTTCTTCTTTTGTAATGGGTTTGTTCAGATGTTCAATTTTGGTTTTTGTCCGCTTAGGTAATAACAATTTACGCCCTTAGTAGCATATTCATTGTGAGTTATGTAGCTTGCCCATTTCTCACTAATCATTGACTAGAGAAAATCAGGTACTTGACTCAGAGTAAACAGGATTTGTCTTTTGCCCTGGGATAGAATAGCCTTTCTGAGGACAGGAACACCCAAAAAGTTAAGAGGAAAATGAGGACATGGTGGGAGAAAGGTTTGATTTGGATTGGTGATCAAGGGGGGAGGCTTGTCACTATAGAAAATGTCCAGTATATACCAGCATCCTCTTTGGAAACTTCTGAGTAACTTTTATTCATTGTTATTTTCAATAATACATAATCTCTACTTCACAGGGTTCAGAAGATTAAATAATATATGGTAAGTGCTGATTATCTAGGACTGAGTAATTCTTCAGCAGTGGGCAATCAATGAATAGTTGCAGTTACTTCTGTTTCAAGCCATAGTGTTAAGTTTATATTACTTACAAGCTGCAATCAGATGGATTGTGAGCATTTAAAATCCTCATTTTTAATATTTTCAATACACACAATAATAAGATTTGGCATACTTCTTTAGTTCATTTATTTAGTACAAGCCCATTGTGCTTTTATTCATTTATTCTTTCCTTGACGTGTCTTGTTAACACATCACAAGTAGCTTATTTTTCTCTCATGGCTCTCAATACTATACTACTGGGTTCAGTAATTTGTTGTAGTGGCCACACAACTCATAGATAATACTCACATTTGCAAGGCTTTGTTAGGGAAGTAACAGGTTTCCGCTTAGGTTGGAAACACTTGGGATATAATTCTTCAGTAAGGGCAGTCTCTTCTCAGACATGCTTTACAGGTAGGCTTTTCTCTGACCCTCAACTTCATGGCTTTAGGCTCTGCCCCCTAAGGCATTTCAGGAAAGTTTACCTAGTTCTTTTTGTTGTGCTAGTTGTGTGTCACTCCCAGTCTGACAGTAAGCCTAGACGAAGGCTCTTGGCTCTGGCTCCATGGGTCACCAGGTCAAACTTGACTCTGTTTCACATTATCTCTGATCTCTGACACCACTAGTGCCATTGCTGCTGTTTCTCAGTTTTCCTCTGTCCTGTGCAAGAATTTCTGGCCAAGATAATGTGCTACAATTTTCTGTTACTTCTTTGTTGATGCTAATGAGATTCGTGTTACCTGCCTCTGACCCTGCCCAGTTTAAACCTGACTGGATAGAAAAGCTAACCCATCATCATGTTAGCAAGCCATATTTCTTTTTTGCATGTTTCTACTCGAAAGTTATTATTACATTGTTAGCAAGCTATTTCGTTTCCTTGTTGTTATGTGCTGATGAGTTGACTATGACTCATAGTGACTCTGTACACAATAGCCCTGAAGCAAGCCCTGTCTCTGAAACATCTCACTGTCTCTGACACATCTGCCCCTGTTTGCCCCAATCTCTGTTGTCAGTCTATCTCAACTAAATCTTCCTCTCCTGGCCTGACCCTCTACCCTTTGATGTATGATTTCTTTCTTCAAGGACTGGCTTCTCCTGAAGACATGTCAGAAGTGTATAAGATGGTGTTTCGAAAGGAGCAGTCTGGTTTTACTTGCTCTAGGACAAACCTGTTAGTTCTCTTGGGCATTCGTAGTATGTTCAATACCACAACCCAAAAGCATCATTTCTTCTTCTGTCATCCTT